CGGCGCGGTGTGAAGCCACCTGGCCCTTTGGAACCTTATCTGCCAGATTATGAAAGGTCACACAAACTGTTTTGTTCAACAAGGCTCTTTCCAGATCTGTCCGTTAATATTTCCCTCCACTTATTCAGCTTGTTACCGGCACCGGATGGCAAGCACCCTTTTCTGATAATGAATCTTTAAAATGGCTAGTTAAACAGGGCCGTTGCTGTACGTTCGATAAATGTTCATGGCACACGCTGCAAGGGTAATGTGTCACTTATTAACTGGCAGCTGGGCAGCATTCACCTTGCGATGGGAAGAGGGGCAGAATCAGAGGCGAAGAGACACATGCCTGAGATATGTGCAGAAACCAGTAAAGAACACAATGTTTAGAACCCCCTGGGGACTGAGCCAGAGTCTGGTTACTCTGGTGCAAGTTCAGAGGCCCTCCACTGACTCGCATGGATTGGCTGTGGGGTTACATCAGAGCAGACATGATTAGAAAAATCATCACCCTCAGAAAAACAAATGAGTGGATCCAAACTGTATGTCAATGAAGTTACTGTCTTTGCCGTTTTGCTGGCAAGCCAAGAGTAGACAGAGCAGGAATATGGGGGGGAACGGGGAAAATGAGAATGAACAGGAGGAGGGTGGAAGCCCAAGTAAGAGCTCTGGCTTTCTACCTGCAGACCAGCACATAGCAGCACCTGTGTCACCGTGACATTGACATTGCAACTCAAGGATTCTACATCACTAATGTGTCCTGCTGGAAACCTAGGACACTTTAAACTATCCACAAGCTACTCTTACAGGATGCAACAGACTGTGGAAATGGAGACCTGCACAGGAAAGCAGGCAACTAGCTTGGTAAGGCCTAAGTTTTAAAAAGGTGCATGAAAAAGTGTAAACACAAGTAAATGCCTGATTTACCTGCAGTAACTTCAGTCTTCCATGCAAGTCTGGGAGTTGTAGATTGTAAAATGCAAATGCAGTCCACCAATTTTCACATCCACAATTGTGGTAAATGAATACAAAATTAAGAACAAATGAGGCCCTGGCTCTGTATTTACTACCTCATACATATGACAGAGTTTCATGTTGAAAGTGCATAGAAAGAAAAAGACCCTGTCTCTTTAAATCTCTGCACCCAGCTCCTACAGCCTAGAAAAGTTAATATAATTATCTGGAGGTGACTTTCAGAGAGACTCAGCACAAGGAGGGTTATTGTGACTCAATCATTAACTGAGTCTGGGGACCCTGGCTTTATCGGAATGTGGCCTCACTCTGCTGCCAACATTTGTCACCAGAGACTGTGCTGGAGCTGGACACAAAGGTTAATTAATGCCTTCGCAGCTCTAGCATTAACCCCCAGCCATTAGACCTCTGGAAAGGCTCCTTCGACACTCCAGCATGCCTCTTGCATCGCTGCTAAATCCAAATCGATTTGCCGTTTCTGGTCACTTGGAGCTGCGGGGGGCCGTGCCTCCGAACAGTCAACATAAACAAAATGTCTCGCGGCCCGCCTTTGGACTATCCTGATGGGCTGAGGGCTGAAGGTTGCCGACCCCTGTGCTAGCGAGTTAGCCAAGCTCAAGTGAGTGCAGCCACACTGTGAAATAACTCTCAAACAGCTGTGTCCTCACTGCCACTGCATTCACTTGTGTGTGGCACCAAGACTTCTGAGGGCATGTGCCATGGTTCTTGGCGCTGCACTAATCTGAGCTCTGCTTTCACACCTGGAGGGTGGCATGTTTCACCCATGATCCTGCAGGCAAGAGAGGTAGACCCCTGGGCCTTTATTTATCAACTCAAGGGGGCTGAAGACAGAACCCCTCTGCTGCCAAATGAATTAATGAAGACAGTGAGACACAATCCCTGGAGTAAAAAAAAAACAAAACATGCTCCCATACACAGAAGGCACCTATAAACTCCTGGAAACATCAGTGGAGCACCATCCAGACACAGTAACAGACCTCGGTATTGATGACGTGCGGGAGGTAATATATTTTGTTGGTCCATTAAAAGACATTACCTCACCCACCTTGTCTAATATCTTGGGAGTACCACAGCTACAACTACACTGCATACTTGGTATTGATGGCATTTACTGCCTTAGCAATGCCACGGTCAACAGCCACTGCCTACCTTCAGATAGATAAGTTATCCCAACATCCATCCATCCATCGAAACTGCACGTGCAATTATTCCACTCTCTGTCTACTAGCAAGCTCCACCAGGCTCTTTTGGAAATAAATGGTTTATGTGGAGAGGGGGGAATCAGTCTCCTCCCTGTCTGGGCAAGGGGTAGTTTATTGCTCCCCACAGGATAGATAACAAATGGTTTTCAGCAAAGTTTCTGCTTGTTACCTACTTTCCCATCTGGATTCACTAAGGCCTTGTCTACACTACACAGTTTTGTTGACAAAACAGTCGAGGTGTACCCACTGAAATGCTCTTCCTGCTGATGTAATTCTCATGCTATGCCAACATAATAAACCCACCTCAACAAGAGGAGCAGGGCTTACGTCTGTGTAGTTAGCGTGACGCAGTGTCTACACTGCGTTCCTTACATCGGTTGTTGGCAGTCATTCTTGTCGATTTCCAGGCTCTGCTGTAGCTGTGACATTAACAAGAGAGCCACCTCCCTGGCTGCTGCCCGTTCTCCTCTCCAAGCCAGGCTGCCATCAAGGCTCCCGGCTTAGGCTGCCGCCCTGGCTACATGCTCCGCACTGGGAGCCCTGCTGCCCCCCATGGTCCCGGCTCCCTGCTCGTCAGGTGCACGGCGGCCAACTGGACCCCCGATGTGGATCTCCCCACCACAGGTAAGAAGCTCCAGGCAGCTCCCCGTCCTGCTCATGGCTGAAAGCGTGGAGGCAAGAAGCCCAAAGGGACATCTGGGCTCCCAGTGGGGAGCTGCATGAAGCTGAGAGCCTTGGCTCTCAGTTTCCCACACTGCCCCTCTTCAGTTGGTGGAATGCTCCTGGTGAGGACACACACCACTGACAGAAAGGATTGTGTCCTATTTGAGTAGGGGTTGGACTAGATGACCTCCTGAGGTCCCTTCCAACCCTGATATTCTATGATTCTATGAGGGAGGGTGGTGTGGACATCAGCCACCGCAGTAATTAATGCAGTGTCTGTAAGTTGACCTATAGACATAGCCTTAGGTACAAAGAGGTCAAGTGACCTGCCCCCTAATATCTCCAGGCAATAGCTCAGTCCAGATTAGCCTCTTAGCCCTGTCCTTTCACCAGCAGGGCACACAGCAGACTCCGGGAGTGCTGCCATAATTCTTGGGCAAAAGGCACCCTGCCTTCACCCTTCCTTCAACATTTTCTCTTCTTAAAATCCATTTTCAGAATCTCAGCGTTGACTTTAAATGGTGCAACAATCAAAGGGAAACAGTGAAAGGATCTTAGCACCCTTTTCATTTAACCACAGTCACTTTTGTTCGTTTATAAAACTAAACCACATACAGATTCTGCCCTGTGCTCAGGTTTGGTTATTCAGGACAAAGTGGAGGGAGAATAGTTAATAAAATCATATGCAGTCGGCATTTTTAATTTATATTAAAAGAGTTTATTCAAGGAAGTGAAGGCACATTAAATATATATGTAGTTTATCTGTGTTTTTTATCTGCTTTGTATTTGTATCTGACTTCTATCTCATTACAAAAAACAACAAGTTCACTTAGGTATAAGGGTCTAATCCAACTCCTGCTGAAGTCAATGGAAAGACTTCCATGGATTTCAACTAGAATTCAGTTGGGCCCATATTCTTTATATACCCCACCTTAAACCGGGGCAGTCACTGCTGACATATGTGGGCACAGAGGAATGAAGACAATTTCTGTGTTTTTCAGCAATATTTCAATATAAATTAATCACACTTGAATTAAAATGTAACAATTTACACCTGAATATAAGAACAGTATTTTAAAAGCCACTGTAGAAAAATAAATTACAAAACCAAACATGATGAGGAACATTAGCATGGGATGGAATTGGGACATTCCAAGAAGCGTATGCATTAATCAGCCCTGGAAACCCCACCACAGAAACCTCCTTTGTAAAGTGCTTTGAGAGCTAAGTTTATCATCATTACATTATAGACTACAACAGAATGGTGACACAGAGATCACACAGAGATCAGCCTCTACCCAGCACACAGTGGTCTCCAACACAGGGCAAAGGATTTAAAAGTATGCAGGTTTGGAAGTCAGGATGTGGAGCTTAGGTTTTTTGCTCCTTCGCTTCAGTCTAAGGGCCTGATCCAAAGCCCAGTGAAGGCAATGGAATCTTTCCATTAACTTCACTGGACTTTAGATCAGAGCCTAAATCTGTGCGTTTTCAGTCACCAATCGAACCCCAACCAAAATAGCTGTGCCGGTCCCAGCCAAAGGATGGGTGAGGCAGTACCCAGAGAAAAATCCATGTAGCCCCAATTAGACAACCAGCACATCCACTTCACGCTGGGATTTCTCATTTTAGGGATTGGTTTGCTGTGACTGAAAAGATCAACTGCATGACAAATCAAAAAGCCTTGCACACATGGAACCTGCAAACTCCAAGTTAAACACACACCGTAGCGGTGAGAATGAAAATGTGCCCTCTAGTCCAACACACTTTGCCGTGACTCAGCCTGGGAAATCCAAAATTCAGTAACAGGTCGAGTATGGCAGGAAACCTCTGTAGCAGCTCAGAGATTCTCTTTCCTTCCCCTGTGCAACAACAACAGCCCAATACTAACACCGTCAATCAAGTTATTTGGACATGAATGTCCCTTAAATATCAGTTATGGAACAACAAATACTCAAGCTGACAGCCCCTCGCTATTCCTGGAGACAAATTCACTTGGCATTGTTCCGTGAAGAGCATTATCTGCTATTACATGTAACAGATGATTGACACATGCTGCCTTACAAAATAATTCACATCTCACACACAACACACAGAGGCATAGAGAGAGCAGCACCAAGACAAGGCACCAAGCAATTGCTGAAATCCATGTATTTGATTTACCTTGAGGTTGTGTCGTGTCTCCTTCAGCTCAAACACACTCCGTGGGGAACAGCTGCCTAATATCAGCTAACAGAAAAACTGACGAGCAAGCAGCTCAATGGTGAGAATCCTTTAACTGTTCAATCACTTTCTTTATTGCAGCAGGAAGATGACAAAATGAAGTTGAATAAGTTATAGATTTAAACACACACACACGCACGGATTTTTTTTGCTAGCTTAGGCGCTGCTGCTCCTTAGCTATTGTCAGTGTAAGTAAGTTTCACGCTCAGGTGGCCAGACCCTAGGTCCTTGAGCAGTGGCTGTGTCCGCCCTCCACTGCCGTGGCCAATCACTGAAAAGTAAAACCAGCTGGGCCCTCTGGAAAGATTTTTTCAAGAGGCTTTTTTTTCCCCCCATTTAGCCAATCATAAAGCAGCCCCTTTCTTTCACAGCATTTGCTTTCAGATGATCCCACACGCACAGAAGAGAGAATGAACTTCAAAAAGTCATCTCCCAAGTACTTCCAGCACCAGAGGAGTGCCCAGCATATCTATTTACTCTAAACTAAAGATTAATTACAGCAGATGAGGAAGGAAACATACTGCCAGATATTCACACTCCACTGGTGGTAAAACAGATCATCCAAATAGCTCGCACACTGAATGCAGACATTGGCTGTAGGCAGGCATAACAAAGGCAAGTACTGCAGAAGCTTCCCTCCCACAGCTCTGCCAATGCCTCTCACTTCTGGCCTATAGAACCCCCTATTATTCCAGCACTGGGCTCCCTTCGCACAGCTCTGCCAATGCCCCTCACTTCTACCCCACAGCCCGCCACCCCATTATTCTAGCACTGGGGCTCACACAATAGGCTGAAACTCTGCTGATGCACCTCAGTCCTGAGCACCAGCACACCCAGGTACTCAAGTCCAAGGTTTTGTCCTCAGCAGAGGCTGCTAATGGTCTCGAACACTACCAGACTCCAGGACCGGGCTGTCACGTGAACACATCAGCTGTGCTGTGAGATTGTCAGTCTTTTTACACCTGAGGTCTAAGACAAATACAAATGCAGGTCTCCAGAGGTAGAAAGCAAGAGCATGAGCTCAATGAGATACCTAGATGTCATTACAACTGGGCCAAATCAATGTACCGGATCCAAAACTTGGGACAGTTCCAATCCAAACCCCAACTTTGCAGCATGACCCGTCTCGAACCCTAAGTTTTAATTAGCCATATGGAGTGGGAAGGAGGTTCAAAGAGGGGAGAGCCTCCAATCTCACTCGCCAAGCACAAGTAAAACAAGCTCAGTGCAAATGCAAAAGCAGCTCCGCAAACTGTCCGGTGTGCCCCAGAGACCAGATCCTAGTGCTGCTGTAACCATGAGTTCTGGGTATCTGATATGTCAACAAGCAACACCAAACATCCCGACAAGGCTCTTAATCCCTCTAGCCAGCAAGGCCACGAGTAGCTTTGTAATGTAGAATGGGAGCCGCCCAAGGCAGGTGTCAAATCACCGATTTGTGTCATTATTATATCCCAGAGAGACTGGCACCTACCCGCACTGCTACTTAACACTGTGCAGGTTCTGGCTTTGTATTCTCAAACAAGCATTCATTCTATGACCCTCCTTCCCCCATCCATCTGAAAAATGGCAGCAACAACTGTAGACCCCCTCCAGCCCCGTGCCAAGGTTTGCTTCTGGATCCTGTCCCTACTTGGTGGAAATGGACACTTGGAAACATGAGAGAGGCTAGGAGAACTCCATAGCTTTAGGAAAATTAGCAGCAGGAATGGGACAGCTGCAACCTCCCAATGGCTCCGGCCTGGTTGATACATAAATGTGGCTCACTCCCTTTTCCCTTCCAAAACTGAGCCCCTGGATATTCCTTGGACTGAAGATAGACCGGTACCTAACTCCCCCTTATCAACCATAACAGGTACCCTGGAAAGGGATTCCAGAGAGGCAAGACAGAGCCAAGGAAGCTGCATTCAAGTTGTGTGTGGTTTTTTTATTCTCTGCAACACTCTGGTCACAGATGAATTTTCTTGGCTTGGTATTTGTTCTTGTGCTGTGTGCCCTCCAGGAGGGAGAGGCTTGACAGCAGTAATACAGAGGAGCCCTTGCACCTCCCAGGGCACAAAGACGCCTGGGGTTACCCTGTGCTGGGAACTCTATCCAAGCTGCTGGACAGACAGACAGACAGACCCTGGTTCTCTCCGGCTCTCTAGATTACAGACTAGATGTACAGCCTGTGCAGCCTAGTGTAAGAGCACAAGGACTCCCTAAATCCCAGCCTGGGTCTTGCAAGAAGGGAGGCTCCCAACTCCAATTCAAATACAATGCAAAATGTAAAGTGTCAGCAGTTGGTGCTGGGGAGCCATGCGGGAGGCTATGAAGAAGAAATGCCATTTAAGGAGGGATGTGGGTGGGGGAGGGGGCTTGTCCCATGGCAAGTGGGAAGCTGTGCCAGATGCCAGGAGCAGGATGGTGGAAGGTGCAGAGCTGAGAGCAGGAGTGTAGAGTGTGACTGCGGGAGATGACAGCACAAATGGAATAAGGGCAGCATCACGGCGAGCCTTGACAGTGATGATGAGGAGCACAGACTCAAAGCAGGGAGAGACAGACAGACAATGAAGGGATTCTGCAGAGAGGAGTACCCTGGTCAGAACAACAAGGAAAGGTCCAGGTCAAGAAACCACCCTGGAATTATTGACAGCGACACTGAGGGCTTACCTAAGTGCCCCAAAGTGCCCAGAGTTTTAACCACCCAGTTTCAGCTGGCTTTGCTGAACTCTTGACACATAGCCCTCTCCAGCCTCCCCCAACCACAGCCTCGTCCCCAACCCCAAGCTTTCCGTCAGCCACCCCAGCCTCTTCCCGAGACCCCAGCCTGCTCTGCGCCTTTCCAGGTCGGAGGAAGTGGGAAGTAACCATGCTCTCTAAAACCGCTTTCATAACCTGCCTCCCCTCACCCTCCCCCCCACCTCCTCACATCCACCCAGTCCAGGGGAAGCCTGTATTCATGCAGATCTTGTCTCACAGTGACAAGGGGGCTTGCTGAGCAACAAGTCCCCTACATGCAGCTGTTGTTGACACTAAAGTGTTTGTATAGCTTTGGGCGATGGATCCCCTTACTGGCCACAGACCATGGGTATGGAGGTGGGAAGGAGGGGCTGGTGGTTCCTGTTGGTGGACACTGTGGACTCCTGGAGGATATTCAGTCACTGCTGCTTCCTCTCAGCACAAAGGGGCTGTCTCTGCAGAGAAGGGGATATTTATCTATGGGGGTGGGAGGCAATTATTGGAATATAAAGAAAATATGGGTTATCTGAAGGAGACTCTGAGCACCAAAGCATCCTGCAGGGGCATCAGCAGAAAGAGATGTGGCCTGAATACAAGAACCCCTGAGTTCTGATCCCGGTGTGACATCGGCCCCCTTGGCGATGACTCTCACTCTGCCTCATTTTCTCCATCTCTAATATGCTGCTGCCCCACCTCCTCAGGGTGCTGTGAGCAGTGACAGGCCTGCAAAGATCTGCACTGTTCCACAGCTTGGGAGGTTGGGAACGAGCCCGCCTCCTGTTCTCAAAATGCGCTTCTTCAGGAAAGCCTCCCGGTGCTGACACCGGAGCCAGCAGAGCAGCAGGACCCATTAAAACTAAACACCATGCTATAGCCCCACCACACACCCACCTGCTCCTCTATACATGTGAATGCTCCAAGCCTTTCACAGAGCATCTGCTCTACGTTCTGTAGGCCCTAATACAACAACAGGCATGGCTGTAAGGGCTGACAGTATGTGCAGAATGTGTGAAGACTGAAACATGCTATGTATTACTGGAGTTATTATTCCCTCAAGCAGAGTGACCTGGGAGTGACAAAAATATACATCTGCAAAGGGCTTCCCAGTCCTCCATTTTGTGAGCCCCCTGGCTAGCCAGGTGTCAACAAATCTGCCTCTGAACTGAAAACAGAAAGACTGAATGAATACAAGGCACTGAATTACAGGGCTGCAATCTTGCTGAGGGTCACACCCTGTTACAGTCATTCAACTCATCTCAGACCTTGCTGACATGTCCCTTTATCTGGAGGATTGAAGTGACACACCCAGTGCTTGCAATGACTTCGGTGTGGTCATCACTAAAGACCTGAGCTAATCAGACATGCCAGCGGGCAATACATGGCACTGGCTCTGTCCCCATATCCAAGGTCAGCAGTGAGCCCTTTATAAGGTTCTTCCACAAAGGCCTTTTCCTGCTCAGAAAACAAGACTCTTATTCACCCAAACTCTACAGCATGCTCCTATTAACAAATCTCCAAGAGGCCCTAACAAGATGCCCAGCCACCCAGTTCAGCACAGCAAGTTGGTGCAAGGTGTGTGAGCAGAGCCTGCACAAATAGCGGAGACCAGCTGTTACATTTCCAGGGTCACTGACAGCCACAGCAATTCCACACCATGACATGCTGCAGAAACAGGTGCCCAGACAGTGGCAAAACCACAGGGAATCCATCCCCCAGCTCAGATGACTAGGTAAAGACAGAGACTCCCAGGTGAAGGCCACACAACTAATTAGCAGCAGAGCTTGGATTAGAGCACAGATCTCCTGGCTCCCAGCCCTGTGCTTTAACCACAAGATCATCCCCCTCTCTGAATACTAAGGGATTTGCTTTTCCCATATAACATGAGTTGGAGGACCAGAGCCAGGTCTAGAACTCAGGAGTTCCTGGCTGCCACTCAGAGTTCAGAGCCGCACCGCACACAGCATCCCAAGTCGCAGGACAGTGGAATGTCAGAGATGGACTAGGGGATGGCTGACCAGCATTTGACTCCTATACTCACAACATGCACCAGGGGCAGGGTTTACACACACCATCCCCCATGACAGGCTGCCCTTTTGGGTTAGCTTACCAAGCCCTGATGAGCTCCAGCTACAAGAGCGCTGAAATGGGCACCTGCTCCCATCAGCTCCGGGGCCTGCCAACCCCAAAGGCCAAGTGACTTTAGCTGCCCAACAGACATTGCTCTGGAAACAGCCATCACACACCCCTCCCTCTGGGGCCGCGGGGGAAGCTGGGACTCTCCTATCCAAATAGCACCAGGAGCCCAGCGGCTCCGAACTCCAATGGAAAAAGTGCTCAGCACGGAGGAGGATTTCAAACATTTTCCGCTCATGTCCTCATTCAAAAAGGGACCAAAGGGGGCGGAGGGGCAGGAAATATCTCTGAGACACTGAACTATAAAAAGGAAGCAAGGGGGGGAGGCGCCAAACCAGCCAG